GCTATATGTTTTTCAGGTTGGTTAACCCAGAGCTTGCTGGCAGCAGCAGTAGCTGGATTTTTTTTACTATTCCTGCAATACACAGAATGCAGTGTTAGCATTCAGTTAACCTTATTTTTCTCCCTATTAAATATTCCTCGATGAGTGATATTGGCACTGGACCTCCCCCTGAGCCATAGTTCACTTCATATCTGTTTCCTCTTAAATCCCTTTGCCTGTGGTCAGCCCTACAGGTCATAGACAAGAGACTGCCAGCTTATTTGTTGTCTGATTACTTTCCAAATGCTTTTGGTTTTAATCTGAGAAAATAGACACTGAATGCAACTTGAGTCAAACATGGGCACTGTTTTGTAGCTGGGATACAGAAGGTAGAAGGGTTAAACATGACACATTCTCTTGCAACGGTTTTATGACTGCTGCTAATTTGAGTGCTCAGTATTAGAGATCTGTTGGATGGAGGGGTTACCCTTCACTATTAATGACTCATTGGCCTCCTTCCCAAGCTGCCTGAAGTGCTGCTCTCCCTAGTGGAAGTAATTTTGTCTTTGAAGTACTTTCCAGAGCTGTCAACTAATGTTCCACAGTTCCCAGAGGAAATAATAAGGCATGAGTGCATGTACACTGAAAACGTAGAGTCTGAAATGAACTGTTCCTATAGGAGCCTGGCAGTCTGCTTCTCTGTGGAATTCAGCTTGTTTATACAATCTTATCTGGCTAAGCTTTGGTATTTCATCTGGCAGGCAGTTCGTATGAAAAGCAGCTGTCCAAGCAGTGGGAGTGGTGCTCCTGGTGTTTTTTTCAGAAGGTCTATAATTTCTTGTTTCATGTAAATTAAAGAAATACAATACTCTTTTGGCTACAACCAGATGCTCTAAGCAGTTTTCTTTCCCTTATAAATAGCCTTTTAAGTATGCTCTGCTGTTATGTACTGTATGATTTAACAATAGGATTCACAATGCCCACCAGGAAAGTATAATGAATTCTGTGAAGTCACAGGCTGACTGCAGAATTGATAGAAGAGTAACTCAAAAATGTTCCCTTCTATAACTTTCTAAATATGGGGGTTTACTAAAAATAATATTCTGATGGTAAAATATCCATGCTTCAAAATGAAAACCTTCTTTAATGGGTTTTATTGTTGCTTGACAAGTTCCACCATTTAAAAAATAACCAAATAAAACCCCCAAATAAATAAAAACCTGCCAAAAAAAACACAATGCCACCACTACCACTGTTGTCAGGAAAGTGAGCACAGGTATATCTCTGCATGAAGAGATCTGTAGCATGAACCATCTCTAATGGAAAAGGTCCGCAGGGATAAGTAGGTAACAACAACTCTATTAAGGAAAAACAAAAAAGAAGGCAGTGCATATTAACAGAAAGGATGCAGCCAAAATACTTAAGGTCTTGTGTAACTCATTGACAGATAACAAAATGTTTTTTAACATGCACTGGAAACTGAAGCTTTTGGCGAAGAGAATTACAATAGTCTGCAGAATGTCTACTCAATGTCTGCAGAAGAGTTTGAGGTATTTTACATGTAGATTTGAGTTGTTTCAAGTAGGAGAGAACTGGGAAGCTGAGGAGTCCTCCAGTTGTGGTAAATGTTGTTCATCTCTTTTTACAGGAACAGTATTTTCAGTGGGAAGCAAATTATGAGCACACGTAAAATTGAAGTCCAAGCCTTCCGAAGTTTAGTGGTTATCCAGGATTATCCGTGCACATCATAATGCATCTTTGATTGAAAGCACTACATCTTGTAGATGAAAAAGCTCCATGTAATGTGCTTCCTTCTAAGAAACAGGAGTCATGTTCAGCACCTAAGAGACTAATTCTACTTCTGTCACCTGCATGTAGCATTTCACTCAGGCATAATTGAAGCCATAAGAAAACATGACACCTTGTAAAATACGAGGATTTAAGCACTGTTCAGATGTGCCACTTGATGGCACTTCTGCCAGTATGCCTGAAGATTTCTGTAGACCTTTCGCTTTGTAGAAGGAGAATTTGATATTGTGACAACTGAAACATGAAAAATGAGCTCTGTCTGGTTCCATATGGTATATACTGGTTTTCACTGAGACCTGGCATCAAGCACAGTCTGTTTCATTAGCTGAAATGGCACTCCTGCTTGAAATCCTATATGGTGAGAAACTCAAAACCTAACAAGAAAAGGCTGACCTTCATCAAAAGCGTGTCATAAATTATACAATGATGCTGGTTTTATTTCAGCCTGACACATGCCACTTGAGCAGTTTATTACTGGAAACAGGGAATACACCAAAGTGTGATCACCCTCTCATTGATTAAAGTGAGTGGTGTCACCTGACTTCTCTGAATAACCTCATGAGGAAGGAAGATTCTTTTCATTATGCTAGGGACTGATGATTTTCTGCTGCCAGAGCAGCAGCTGATGTTAAACATCAGTACTTTGCTTTATTCCTGCAGCAAGAGGAGTGGCTCTAAATAGCATCAGCAGGGAGGAGGGGGAGAGGTAGCTGCTTTGTTCTGAGGTTCGGTTACTTATTTAATTCTATTTGTATTTATTTAGGGTGATTCCAGGAAAGTGTAACTGCTAGTGAGCAGGTCATCCTGAAGTAATATAACAATCCCCATACTGTCAGGTTGGAGAAATAAGTTTTAACACTTCCCCCTGTTAAAACTGGGACTTCATCTTTGGCCCTCACAGGATTATGTATGAGAGGGCTGGAAACTAAATGCATGACACTGTTTTAAAAACCAAAATTCCAGTCATCAGGACATGGTGGAGTTCTTTTTTTTTTTTTTTTTTTTTTAACATTCTTCAGCTCTGGAGTACTAAATCCAAGAGTGGTCAGAGGTTCAGCACTGAAAGTTGCCTTCATCCCTTGTAACATAATCCCTGCCTCTGCCTAGTTTGTGTTTGGAGGAAAAAGATAGCATTTTTGTGGTAAGCTGGGCTTTTTGTTATTAAGGGAGATGGTTGTTTTGAAGCTGCTCAGGGGTTAGGAATGCTGGCAATCATCTGGGGAGACAGGTTAGTGGGCTGAGTGCAGGTGAGGAGGTCACAGGTGCAGAACAACCATTTCTTTTGTGCTGTTGCCCTGGTTGGTAGTTCAGCCAAAGGAAGTTGCTTCAGAAATGACCTGTGTCAGGAGGACCATAGTACTTCTGTTGTGACATTACTACCTGATTATCCCAAACTTGCCTGTTGTGAGAACTAACTCTCTGAGTTGTTGTTAATTTAAGGGGAAGAAAGCAGTGTTGTAAACAGATCTTCCCAGGTGAATTATTTGGTAAAGCTTTTGCAAGTCTGCCTTAAAGTAACTCAGCTAACAGGGAGAGAACCCAGGTGCTTTTAGGGAATAGATGGATAACTAGGACATGTGTTTCATTTTACCTCCAGTGAAATAAACTGGACTTGCCAGCCTAATTCTTTTAGTCTTTAAGGGACGCGGCTTTTGAGTTTGGTTTGCCAGCACTGCAAGAGATAGCCTTAAACACATAAACCCATGTGAAATTTTAATTGCCATCTTAAGTTGGAATTTTGGGATAAAAGTCGTCTTGGGCTATAAGGTACAACGCTACTGTTCTACAGCACTCTGTTTTAAGTGAGGAAGAATTTCAATTCCAAATCTGAATCCCCAAGTTGTTTTCATTGGACTGTTACAGAAATCTATCAGTGAATTGTGAGGGTGAGCAGGATTCAGTGTTTAAGGCTGTAGCTCTGCATGACCTGGGAGGAGGTGAGTATGACATTAAACATAACAATCTTGTGTAAGGACTCTATTTCACAGAAGCTTTTCATTCAGGATGACTTTCTAGATGCCTTGTGATGTCCTCAGTGTTATTATAGCCAATGTAAACAAGTTGTAGGGGAATGTAGGAATGGTCTTTCTGAAGTCTTCACGTTATTTTTTTTCCAGCCCAAAGGACTGTGTAGGATCAGAGAATAATTCAGACTTCCGGAGGCCAGCTAATGCAACCCCTTGCTCCAAGCAGGCTCAGTTAGAACAGGTTGCTGCTTACCACTTTTTTTTTAGTATCCTTTGAGTTGTTTAACTTGTTGACAGACTTCAAGGAAGTGACATTAACATGCCTCAAAAGCTGACTTGAAAATGAGACCTTGCAAGCACAAACATGTCATTGTATGCTTGTTTTTACTAACATTTCTTTTTTTAAGCCTTTATCAGATAGAGGTATTGTCTTTCTCAAGCATTAGTATTCAAGGTTAATTTGTTGGAGATAATTTTCTTAGTGGCAGTTCTGTAATCATTCTTCTGTATTTTACTGCTCATTTTCAACAGCAGAATAAACTGAAGGTCTGTTACTTTATCTGAAAAGTGTTAGCGTGCTTAAACCCCAGGTGAAATAATTTTACAGCTAGTATATGCTTCATGTTTAAAATATGCACAGTATTTTTAATGTGAGGTGCAGTGGTGCATTTTGTATGCTAACAGCTTCATGACTAAGTACTTTCTTATGCAAAGCACGATCTGAGCTTCTTATAGGGAATAATTTGTCATATTACTTGGCTGATTTAAAGCTGATCACTTTGCACATGCCCTTGAGATACCACTACAGAGACTGAAGTATTAAAGCATTCCTTAAACAGCAGACCATAGAAAGGCTGCTTTCCTGTGGATCTTCCTTGCAAGGGCAGGAGTGAATGTATGAGTCTGTGTTTGTTCTGTGGTCCTTAGAGTATGGACTAGGCAGCAGCGCAGTTTCTTTCTCCCTCCTTCTTCTACTGGGCCTCTTGCTTACACAGAAAGTTGAGAATCAGAAGTCTTTTTCCCTCAAAATATGGAAGGAATATGGCTAGTCATTGAAAACAACTCACTCATTCTGAATGTTGTGGTGATGGACATGAAATGAAGGTTAGAGTAAGTGGAAGAATCCATTTGATTTTTCCATATTATTAGGAGTGTGGATTCACTGAACCAGATTTAAGAGGTAAATGCCCTGTAGGTTGTGTTATTCTCTGTTTGACTGATACGTTGGTGCTGTTCCTTTTTCAGATGAAGTAGACTACAGCAATTTTGGGACCAACACACTATCAAGGAAGAAAAAGGCTCTGGTGACTCTCCGCAATGACAACCTCCGCCGACGTCCTCACATTAACATCAGCATGCCTCATGATTTTAGACCAGTGTCATCCATAATCGATGTGGACATTCTTCCTGAAACACACAGGAGGGTGAGGCTGTATCGACATGGGTGTGAGAAACCCTTAGGATTTTACATTCGTGATGGCACCAGCGTAAGGGTTACTCCTCATGGACTAGAAAAGGTACCTGGTATCTTCATCTCTCGTATGGTTCCTGGAGGCTTAGCAGAGAGCACAGGTTTGCTGGCTGTGAATGATGAAGTCCTGGAAGTTAATGGCATTGAAGTAGCAGGAAAGACTCTCGACCAAGTCACAGACATGATGATTGCCAACAGCCACAACCTTATTATCACAGTCAAGCCAGCAAACCAGAGGAACAATATCATTCGGAGCAGTAGGATGTCTGGTAGCTCTGGCCAGTCTACAGACAGCACTGCGAGCCACCACAGCTTGCCCACATCACATGTGCTGCAGAACTTCCACCCTGATGAAATGGAGAGTGATGAAGAGGCTGACATTGTCATCGAGGGCGGTTTGGAGCCACAGCACATTCCTAAACTGCACAGCCTTACTTCCAGTAGCCTCTCTCGAATCAACGGCAGCAGCCTTAGCCACAGACTTCAAAGGGACCTAGTGCTCAACAACAACTCTGGCAGAGAAAGCAATGGCAACATCCACAAATTACTCAGTTCCTTAAAAACTGATCCCCGACACAGTCTGGTTATCCCCAGAGGAGGTATTGAGGAGGATGGAACAGTCATTACACTTTAGTCGAAATTCCTGCAAACTCTCCTTTCAGTCTTAAGTGCCGATTGGGACAATTGACTGTTGTAACAACGTTATGCACTAAACAGAGAATTGGTATTCTCATAGACCTCACGAGTGCAGAAAATCGTTGCTTTCTAGGAAACGTGGCATCTGGAGGTAGATGTAAAACTGTCATGCACTGCAAAATTTGTCAGGAGAAAGCCAGAGTGTAAAACCTGGTTTATGTCCCAGCCCTAAAGTGGGAACACATACTTGGTTTAGTTGGTATAAATCTAAGCAATCTTACAGGCTACCAATGGCAGTGCTACATACGTCGGTTTGAATGCATGGGTGGATGTATTTATACATGCATGTATATGAGTTAGATTTTAACAGTAACAGACATGTCTATTTGCAGTGGAACCTGGTTTTCTTCTAATACCAGTTTAAAGAGAGTGCTCCTTAATAGCCATCCCATCTTCTACTGTTACTTACAGACCTTCCACTAACTTGTTTACACCATATTTGCAACCTTATGTCTAATCCAGACAAGCTCTTTAAACATAGCGGTTTCCTATTCTGGTGGTAATAACGTTAGGGAGATGCTGCAAATACGTTTTCCAGATGAAACTATATATATGTATTTTTAAAGCATAGGGAGGGGATGTTGGAGGATGTTGCTGTTACTGCTGTGGGTGCAGCACCACCTGCTGTTCAGAAGCAGCCCTGCGTGCAAGAAAAACACGACAGTAAGGGCTTAGAAGTAGGGTTCAGGCACCATTATGTGTAAATGTATTCTTTTTCGATATTTATTAGATAATACCTCTTTTTTTTTTTTTTCCCCCATCATCTCTTTTTCGTCAGTATCATGATTCATGTGAGATTTAGGGGTGCAAGAGATTAGGTGACGCAAGTGGCAGAGTGTCCTAGGACTGTTCTCTTCACCTCAGAGCTGACAAGTCGTTGCTGTGCCTTTGGGGCGACCTAAACTGCAAGGTCTTTCCTCTAGAAAAGGTTGGCTGATTGCTCTACAGAGGAGGGATGCTGACTGGCTGCCAAAACCTAACTTCTGTTATTTTTGGACTCTTCTAGTAATAAAGCTTAATGTCTGCACAGGATTTCTGGAAACTTAAAATATACTGGATGTTTGCGATGGTCAGACATGCTGACTGGATGCTGGCTGGTGGGTAACTAGTGACTGACGAGTTGATTAACCGTCTGCTTCTGAAAATGCCATGAATTGATTAAAGTGGTCTAATCTAAAATATTTTGTTATATCTTGGATCAGTGTAAGGAGCAAAATATAAATGTTTCACAGTGTATTTTTCTACTTTTAGCTTGTGTCATTTGCTTTTTGTTTGTAACTTTGTAGTACATTAAAGCTTTTTTATATGGTGGAATAGACATTTCTTAAATATTATATGGAGATGAAAACTCAGAAGTCTTGGTTTGAAAAAGTTACATTCCATTCTGGAATCTAATGGCTGGACAAAGGACAGAATACCTGTGGAACAGCCAGTCTTCTGCTCATTGTTAAATACATCTGGGACATTGAACTTCGTTTATTTCTTTTTAGATTTGCTTTAAAAGTTTATTTTAAAATTCTTTCACATACTCGAATTAAACCTTTCCTAGGTATCACAGCAGTTAAAGAGCTGTACTTATTTCTCCCAGCACAGTAAGAATAGAACATTGATTGTGTTCATCTTAAAACTGTGTTTGTGCTTTACCAAAGGTTTTCATAAAAATACCAAACTGATTATTGGTGCAGTAAAAAACCTGAATAGCTGGATATGCTTCAGTCAGACCATCTGAGCAGGAACACTCTGTTACACCTTAAATAAGACTACTTTTGTGAATAAGTGTATTTGTCTGGCTGAAGTTACCTGTTTTACCTTATTTAACTGATGAAAATGTGACCTGTCTGCAATAAAATGTGCACTGTCTTACTTCTACGCTATTATCCTTTTCCCTGTGCACAAGCACACCTTTCTGTGGAAGTATCTTCTGTCCCAGTAGAAACAAGATACTTTGTTTTGATGACTCTTCAAATAACTAACCACTTACAGTACTGATTTTTTCCATACCAGTACAGACTTGGATTCCCCGGGTTGTTGTTAGTGATACCAAGTTTCTTTCTGTAATGTTTTTAACCAGGACTGCCTTTACTAAAGGGTACTGTTACACTGATTCCCATGGGAAGCAAGTGGTTTGCCGCCCTCCTCATAGGAGCTTGACATTTCCTGACGTGGAGGACCTGGGGTAGTTCTGGTTCTTCAGGAATAGCCCTCAACACCTCTGGGTTACTCATGTGCTGCCACACGACAAACTGCTCTGTGTCACTGTCCAAATAAAGTGAGATAATATGGAAATACCCAAACTTGTCCATCTAATTCATCCCAGGAAGTAGGAAACATAAGTTGCATTTCACACATCAGCGTGAAAGTACTATACCCAAAACATGTTACAAGCTGAGAACAGCAAAATATTGATATATGAGCTTTAGAGCTAACACTTTGCAAAGTAACTCCAACGGCTTGTGAACATTCGATGCAAATAAGACAAGGGGGGGGAGGGTGTTCTATTTTTGCATGTACCATATTGGTAATTGAAATTAGCTGTGTTTGTACATTAGCTGCTTTCCCAGTACAGACTTGTCTCAGAAACCGCTGTGAGGAAATGGGATGGAGCCGGTTAGCCTCTTAGGATGTGAGGTCAGGTTGCCTGATGGGGTTTTAAACGCGGGTGGCTGAGGGCAAACTCTCCACAAACGTTCTTACAGGGGGAGCCGCGTTTCGGTTCCTGACTCCAAGTGTACGGCTGGGGCAGCTCGGAGGCCACAGCCTGGGCCTGTGAGAGGCAGCAGTTCCTACAGTGCTCGAGACTCCCAACAGCCGGACAGGAGGACGCCGCCTCCGTGCTCCGGCACCGGCGACATATGCGGCCGACGCCATGCGCCGGGGCAGGCCGCGGGGCCGGGCCGGGCCGCTCCCAGCTCCGCCCGCCGAGAGTGCGGCTGCGCCGGCCCCGCTGCGCCCAGCCCGCTTGAGGGGAAGTGGAGGGTGGCGGTGTGATGGCGGACGCGGAGGGGGTAGGAGAGAGCGGCGGGGCCGAGCTGTTGGGCGCCTGCCCCGGCGCGGACAGTGGGCACGTCTCCCAGAGCCACAGCAGTGCCTCCGGCCTCGGGGAACCGGAGGACGAGGACACCTTGGAGGCGTTGCTCAGCGCCACCGCCGCCGCCTACTCCGCGTACCTGCTGGCTGACCGCAGCCTCTTCAGCGATGAGGTGAAGGGGCCACGCTGGGACAGGGCACCCGGCGGGTGCTTCCTCACCGCTCCGGCCCTGCGGTCCGGCCTGCCCGGCTCCCCGGGCCCTTCCACCCCGGCGCGTGTCCGGCCACGGAGCCCGGCTGCCCCGGCCGTGCAGGCGAGACGGGGAAGGCGTCACTGGCCTTCGGGAGAGGGGCGGTTCAGCACCCGGCGCCGGTTCCAGGCTCTCGGAGGGGTTTTGTGCCCGTGTGTCGAGTCGTTGCGCGGTGCCTAGCCGGGAGGTGGGGAAGCCGGGGGTTTGCTGTTCAGGTGGTGTCAGTCTGGCTGGTGTTTGGACTCGGAGGCTTTCTCTGGGAGAACCTGGGGGTTTGCGTCTTTTCAGGTATCTTTAAGGGGTTTCTGTTTTGCAGATAGAAAGCTTAGACAAGAACCTAGAAGATTTGCTGACCAGAGTGGATGAATTTGTGGGAATGCTGGACATAGTATGTATAACGTGTGTGTACTTGTGCTTTTGAAGTCAGAATATAGTTTAATGCCTGTTTCTGTTTTTAAGTGCAACAGATATAGGAAGCAACCTTTGGCAGGTTCCAGTAAGCACATTTGTTAATTAGGTAACTTGTTTTGATAAGCAAAACATGTCCATATACAGCTATGGGCCATATAACTATAAGCTATAAAACTGTACATTTTCATAATTGTGTATGTGTGTGTGCACATAAATGGAACTCTGTTTTAAATGGCACAGTGACAGATGTTTAAAAGAATAGTGTGATAGTCTGCTTCTCCTCTAAAATACATAAAGACCTCCTCTGTGGTTTTGGTAATCAAAGTATCTAATCAGAGTTGCCAAGCCTCCAAAGCTAGATTTATCTTTAGGGGGACCCTTTCATCATAAAAGCATCTTTGTTTTCACTTTTGCAGTGGGGAACTGGACAACTGAATGGAAAAGTTCCCATAAGCTGGTACTGGTGTTACAGGTTGTCTTTTACAGTGTAGCACATGTAGTTCCTCTGTGCTACTGAAAGTGGAACTTCTGTTGTTTTGGTTTTTTCTTTTTATAACAATAAAATGAGATTTTGTATACAATTAAAACAGGATTTTGTGGCCTTTTTTAGCAAAGCTGACAAAATGTACAGATAGCAAAATTTAAGTAAAAAATTTAGTATATTTGACTCTTCAGTATGTCTTGGGAAATGTTCCATCTCTTAGTTTTGTTAAGGCTGTAGCAGCCCATTTTTAATATAATTATAAAGGTAAATATTTTTGCCTATGCAAAAGAGATTTTCTTCAAAATTACTTTCTAAACTATACAAAGAAGTTAATTTTAATCTAATATTTTTATGCTGTCTGACTTCTTAAACTATGAGTTTTAATGTGTTAATTTGTTCCTTTTTTTAATGAAATCTACTAACCATTTTGTTTTATTCATCAATATTTGTGTTATTTCTTTGAATCATCTTTAGATTCGAAGTGATTCCTCTCAAGTTATCAATGAAAGTATACCTGAAATTTACACAAAAGCTACAGAAATGAGACACATATACAGGAAGATTGACAAGCTAGAGGTATGTATTTAGTATCTTTTAGATGTATTCTGTTTCTTAGCGGGGTTTGGGGACAATCAATGATGTCCTGTAATTGTGTGTATATGCATGTATGCATGGAGAGTGGGCTCAGATCTGTTTTGTTCTCCATGTCCAATCTGGGTTCAGTGCTTCAGGGTTAATAAAGATAACTCAATTTTTTGAAGAATTTCTGAAGACTGAGGGACTGAGGTTATTCTACTAAAAAAATATATATTTTTATTTACTGCTTAAAGCAAGACAGATTTTTTCAGAAAGCAGTAATACCATTTTTCCTTCTTTTTGTTGGGTGGGGTTTTCTTTTCTTGGTTTTTTTTTTTTTTTTTGGTTGGTCTGGTTTAGTTTCTGCTACAGTATCCTTCAAAATTATTGTCTTAGGAGCTATTTGGGTACGAGCGGAATGGAAGGTCTACTGATGCTTGTTAAAACTTCAAAACTGTGATTCAGGTCCTTGGTCCCACATTTAGTAGAAAGGCAGATGGGACTCTAGATACTAAGAAGTCTAAATTAGTTATTTGAAAGGCAAATAGGAAAAGGAAGACTGATTATTTCATTGTGTTTAACCTGGTTTTGCAGACTTTTAAGTATTTCAAGTATTTTTTTTTTAGCAATAAAATGAACTTCATTAAGTAATGGAACTTTCATTTCACTGCTTTTATGCAATCTATAGTCTGTTTTAATTTGTTACTGAAAAAGTTGGGTTTCTTTTGGTTTTGTTTTTTTTTTTTCACACTAGGCTTTTGTGAAGATGATCAGCAATAGCGTAGCTGGACTGGAAGAACGGGTCACAAAGGCAGAAACAGACCTTGGAGCTTTTCCAAGCACATTCAAGAAAATCTTGCACACAATCAGCATACCATCCTTCCTTAATGTAAGTGAAGTTTTGTTCCCATGTGACCAGCTTAGTTGCTCTGCTTACCTGAGTAGGTGGTCAAAATTATAAAAAGTTTGTTACACATATAGCTGAATTTAACTGCAAAACTCCTATATACTTTATTGGGATTTTGGAAAAGTTCTTAGACTTAAATATATATGTATACAAAAAAAACCCACGAACACCAAAACAAACAAACAAAAACCTTAAAAATCACAAATTCTTACAAAGATCTTTGTAACTTTCCAAAATAAGGCTGAATACACAAGAGACCATGGGGGGTACAAACAAACACATACTGCACAAGCCTCTATATGAAAGCACCCCTGATCTCTAATGGTATGTAGCGCAAGTAGAAAGAGCCTGTATAGACAAAACTGTTAAAATAGTTGTACTGCATTGATAATATCACTACAGAAATATTGTCAAAGAAGGAAATGAAAGCTACACAACACTATTTTTAAAATAAAGGTACTCTTTATATTCAGTCCACATGGTTCAGTAATCATGTAACCACCTTGTTAAACTTTCTAAGGATGCAGTTTTCTCTCTCTTCCCTTGTTACTACGTGTAGACTTCGTGTACAGAAGACTTGAAGTGACAAGGAACCTGTTTTTTAATGCAGCCTTTAAGTTAGTTAACTTCTCATTCCTTCATTTGCGTTGGTGTTCAGGTGTAGAGTGATGTCATCTTTTCTTTTTTAAAAGACCAGCACAAAGCTGCTATTTATGGGCCAGTTACAAAACCAAACAACTGCAGCAGTTGCCTTGAAGAATATTCAGCAGTATTCTTCATTTTGTTGCTCAAAGCAGTTGTCAACCATGAAATGAGAATCTTCAATTGAAAACTTTGAAAGTTCTAAGAAAGTGCTTTTGTTGGTGTTCTTGGGAACACTGTCCACTTAGCATGTTTTTCCGCATCACTAAGGTGGAAAGTCTATGAAAGTGTCAGCAAGCTGGGCCTGGCACGTCCAGTGGTTTCTTTGTCTGAGTGTGGCTAGCAGTAAAATCAGCACTCAGAATTTACTGGGATTAACTTAGTAACTAAAAGGGAGGTCATTGTTCTGCAGTGGTACTGAGTATTGCATAGTAAAATATCTATTTTCACTAGTAAACACAGGCATGTCTTAATTAAAATGTCTGAGGAGTTTTCTCCTCATGCCTGACATGTGGCTAGCATACTCAATATAGAAATGCTTTGGAAAAGGAGGCTACACCAATGTAGGGATTTTCACTGTAGCTGTAATTCATATTTCACTGCTACAATTTGAATTTAATCAAGGCCCCTCTCTCTCTTCTCATTTAAATGTATCTGTTTCTTTACACAAAGGATATGCTTTGTGTTTCTCAAGCTGTGTATTTGTAATCTCCCATTCAGATTTTGCCTCAAGTTCTTCCCTTATGAATACCAGTCAGTATAAAGTACAGTACTGTAAAACGTCTAATATTGCTAAGGATGTAGACTTCTTGTCAAAAGTGCCTCCTGAACAGCTGCAAAAATAACTCGTCATAAATGTGTACTTAGGCAACTGTGGGTACTGTGCCTGCCTATGAATTTCCTCACTAGATTGAAATTATCCCCTTCTTTCACATATGTAAATATAGCACCTCTTAAATCAGTGTCAGGAGTTGCAGAATACTTGCAGCCTTAGTCCTTACTTGCCAGGTGTTTTCTCACAGGGCAGTACAGGATAGGAAATCATTTTTAAAAGCAGAACTTTGACTTCTAAGATTGTTTTTTACATTTGGCAAAATTTCTGATATAGAGAACATTTTAAGCTGAAAGAGGGGAGATTTAGACTAGATGTTAGGAACAAGTTCTTCGCTATGAGGGTGATGAGGCTCTGGAACAGGTTGCCCAGAGAAGCTGTGGCTGCCCCAACCCTGGAAGTGTTCAAGGCCGGGCTGGATGGGGGTTTGAACAACCTGGTCTAGTGGAAGGTGTCCCTGCCTGTGGCGAGTGGGCTGGAACTAGATGATCTTTAAGGTCCCTTCCAACCCAAACCGTTCTGTGATTCTGTGAACATTGGTAATCCTCACTATTTATAGATCTGTTTATATATATTTTTATTTCATTGCAACTGGAATGGCAAAACAAGCTTATTTTGGACAAAGTTACAGTATTGTAAAGTTACAAATATAATTTAAATGTCATAAATCTGTACTTTTGGATAGACCAAGAGAATATGTACTTATTGTAAAGTTACAAATATGATTTAAATGTCATAAATCTGTACTTTTGGATAGACCAAGAGAATATGTACTTATTTCATATGGAGTGCAAGTATACAACTCAACTGAATATTGGAAAAAATCCACTAAGCTGTTATGTAGATACACTTATTCACATCCTCATTTTGGTCCTATAGAAACATTCCAAACTCAAAGTATACCAATGGTAATAGGTATGGTTTTAACTTTATTATTGGTGAAGACTCTAATTTCCTCATCCCAAACAGGCGAAAAAAGTATCTGAGGAACTCTGCAGACAAACTGACTGAGGTGTCTGCAAAATAGTTCATAAAAATCTTTTCATGAGTCCAAAATAATTTTCAATGAATGAAGTCTTGATTTCAAGCCTTCTATTTAAGACCATGTATTGAAAACATACTCTGGGTCTGTGTTGCAGTGCAGTGTTATTTACATGCAGGAAGGCTGACATGTAGCGGTCCTTGCTGTTGTCTCTTAAAATGAGCCATTTGGCACAGCAAAACAATGTACAGTTAGTATTTAAAAGAAGCATGTACACTTTTCCTAAAAAACAGTGTTAACAGTTCTTTTCCAGTCCACTACTGTATTATTTTTAATGGTATGTCATAGTACATATATTCTAATGTATACTTGATGAATAAGCTCAACAGGAGCAGCAACTTTCTTGAAAGCAACATTTGCTTTTTCACTAAGTAAATGAGAACACAGGGTTAACTCGAAGGAAGCAGCTGAAGGGAACTCAAAAGGTTGGAGCAGGAAAGGTAGAGGTATATGGTTCTGGAAGGATAAAGGTTACAGCGACTATACCATCAGCTGGAAAAGATTGCCTGTCTGGCTCCTGCAAAGCAGACATGTCATACACTTTCCAGGACTGAGTCTGTTCAGGTGATGGAATGCCAAAGTTCAAAGGCTACTTTTCTTCACTAGCATATGCTAGACCCATCTGACCTATGGTTAAAAATTTGCCTAATGAAGAAGGTATGTCTTTACAACTCTTCTTGTTTTGCATTTTAGCTCTGTAGGCTTTGTTTTAAAACTTGCTTTTTCAAGAAGATGAAAAATAAACTTATCTAATTTGCAGAAATCATCTTCCTCACGACAACAGCAGACCCTCTATGAACCTCCAGTCCTCTTCAAGACTGAAGACTATTTTCCATGTCTTAATGAAGCACCTTACGAATGATTTTTGCTTTGGGATTGATGTGAATCAGCCAGAATAGAGACAGCCAAGTGAACAAAAGGAATGCTAGCCTCAAAATTGCTGCATTTTTGAACATTATCAGTGGCATATTGCCATTATGATTCTCACTGTCTTCCTTCAGGCAGTATTTTTCAGGTAATCTTTTTTGTGTACATTATTTCAAAAGTCTTCCTAAAACACATTATAAATTTTCAGATTATTTTGAGGAAGGAATGTAAGAATACTTTCACATTAGATTTTTTTCTTCCTTTTTAAAATAGATAAATAATAGGAAACAATTTTATATATAAATTTTTTAACAAAATACTTGTGCTGCTGCAAGTGTAAATAGCTATTCCACAAAGACATGGGCCTTTGGTTTTTTGTTTGGTTGTTTCTCCCTCTGCAATATACTTTTCGGGGTGAAAGAAAAACTATGCATGAAATAATCTACTCCAAGTATTGAAACCTGGTCCCTGCAGTTTGTACAAGGAAATGCACTACATTGGGATGTAGAGGTTGCAAGGGGAGTACTTGGAAGTTCGGTGAGGAGTCAAGAGCGTGAATCAATGAACATGGTCTAGTCCCAGTTCACAAAGCAAACATCCTGCCCCCACTGATGATCATCATGTCGAAGTGACTTGAGATTCTAATTATTGCAGCGTTGTATTGTTTGATGTGTAACCAGGTGGGCATAGGATATATATGTTTAACCTGCTGTCAAAAAGTATCTAAGTTGAGGCAGTGATGTCCTTGGGCTGAGCCTCAATCAGGTGCCTGGACAGACTGTCTGCTTTTCCCTCTCAACCCTTGGTATGGTTACTGGGATTCCCTGCTGATTGCAGGGTGAGTATATTATCAATAAACTAATAGCTATCTAACCCCTGTTGTGATCTTGCATTTCACCTGACAGCTTCGAACTGCACCATTGTTCCTGAAAACCTTCTTGCATGCAGTCTCATATAGTGCATAGCAGGTATTACTCATAAATTGTTTTATTCCTCTAAACAACAATTTTATCACTGCTGTTGTAGTACCAGTATAACTCACTAGAAATATGCAAAATTCAAATATCAGGGGAATAAAGAATGCATTAGGGAGAAAACATCTGGTGATTTTGTGCAAGCACAGAAAAAGGTATGCAGTTGTAGAGCAAGGATTATATATTGATAGCTAAAGCTTTGAAAACTGTATGTTCTTGTCTTCAAACAGCAGAGGGGATCAGGTTCTAAATAGTATCTAAAACAACATCTAGTAAAAATTAAAACAAAGATTGTGAAGTCAAAATTAGTAGGTTCCAAAAACAGTTGTAATGTAAAACAATTTTAACACGGAAAATCTAGAAAAAAAAAGTTAACATGTAAACACGCAGAAAGTTAGAGCCATTTGACTTTGAAGAAGGGCTTCCCCCTGCTTCCCATACTCCTTGCTCTCATAATTATTTCATTATTTGGGTGTTCCACTGCAGCAACACTTGCATTTCCAAAAGGTGTGGTACTTTTCAGGTTATGCATAAATAGTCTTTGAAGGCTTATCACTCCTCAGTGAAATCTAATGAAATGGCTGCTTAGTGCAGTAACATAAGGCTACGGTCAAATACTCTTAAACACACTTATGCTGACATTACAAAACATTTTATAGTAACTTTAGAACAAATTTCTAATGAAATTAATCATTTTTTTAAGAACTTTGCCCTCTGCTGGATGGAGCTAAAATGCAGTTATTTTAAACACATGATATAATTTAAAATATTAAGGTAATAAAGATCTCAGCAAGTTTATACAGCTGAGTATTTGTCATAATATAAATAAGAGAAAAAATTAACATATTCTGAAGTGGGCATTTATGTTGAACAGTTGTTTGTGGGGAAAAAAAAAAATATCTTCAAAGCACACCACAAAGAAAACTCATGCAATTCCTATAACTAGTACAGTTTTGTTTGAAATGCTCTAAAATATTTTTATTACTGAAAATAATGGACAATCCATGGCAGTTTTATGAAGGAAATGCTATAAGATTACTGACAGTAAACTGTGGGGTTTTTTTAAATAAATGATACAAAATAAATAGCAAGGTCACAGTTCAGCTGTGAACTACAGTCTAGAACACTTAAAAAGTTATGGTGTTCTCATAGTACTGACAAGACCTACATGCTTACTCTGCTTTTGAATTTACTACCTCAGCTGACTCCTTGATTGTGATCGCTCTCACCAAGCAGGAGTAGCATAAACAAAATCCCAAGTGTTCACTCTCAGTAAAAGACTCATGGAATGTTCCTTTAATCTGTCTGTTGTTGTTACCTTGTATTAGTCTAAACCCAGTAGTAACTATATTATGAATTAGGCTTGATATTCACTATATTTGCCAGCTGCAAATAAAATCTAAACCTCAAAAATCACTGATACTAATATTCATATATCCAGAAAGCCATACCTCTGTCTTTCTCTGGACAATATTTATCTTTCTCCTCTTGCTCCTCCAAAATACAAAGACAGTAACAGTAGCACTACATTACCTATTTTTAACATTGAGAGCTTTTTCGATAGAACTGCTGTAAAGCAGGGCATCACGTTTAATGAGGTGAGCTGCTAAAGGTTCGTTACTGAGTGTGTGAAATGAGCTAATATTTAGTATCATCAAAAAAGTCTGCACACAAATCTTACTTTTATGACATGAAGAAAATGTTTTAAAGTTCTAGTAGAGATAATGCTACAGATTTTGATCTGGTTAGGTGCATTTTATTTTTGTTCTACTCTTTAGCAGTGCTACTGCAGGTGCTGTAAAGCCCAAAGAAATAGAAGGATTTACAGATTTGATGACTTACCTGACCAAATAATGAATTGTTTAAAGATTTAAAGAGCCACTGGGTTACACTGGCATTATCAAAACCCAGAGCAGATCATTACTTCTGCTAACAATAACCTTCAAGGTTAAGTAATTTTACCTGCAATACCAAGAAATCAGTAGCAAGATTAATTTGCATTCTGTCCCACAGAATGACAGGACACAGATGACAAAGAGTAAGTGTCATCAGATGACACTGTGTGAGGTGTCCCTGCCCATGGCAGGGGGGTTGGAACTAGATGATCTGAAGGTCCTTTCCACCCCTAACTACTCTATGATTCTATGACACAGAGTGTCATCACTTACTCTGTCCCACAAGTAAGTGATGACACTTTCAAACTCCCTCAGTTTTTGTAGAAAAAATCCCACATGCCCAGACTGAAGCCCTGCTTTGAAAAGCCAAAATCCCCATCAGATTTAGCTATTGCCAAAAAGGAGCATAATGGGAGTTGGTAATCTCACTAGCCACTGCTGTTAAATCCATCAGGCATGAGGAGTCTCCAACTGGTGGGATCCACAGCCTTGTATGAGTGAGTTTACCGTGGCAAGCTGTGCTGCAGGTGCAGAGTAGAGGCTTTGTCCGCTCCGCTGCTTGTGTTGATTCTACTCTAAGCCGGTGGGTGGTAGTACAGCCTAAAGGTGTTAGCACAAACTCCAGCGCCGTCTGGTCTCGGTGATCTGAGGAAGTTACTTTCTTGCTTACGATTATCTACTCGCTGGTCATTTTTATGATTTTACAAAACAGTATAAGCAGTTTTCGAATTATGCATGATCAATGCCTTAAAAGTGCTGAGTAACAAGCAAAGTAGAAAAAGGGGAAACAAGGTACTGCCTCCGGGCAATACACAACAATGCTGGTGAGACAGAATGCAGTCCCCTATAGATGCATAGTTTGAAAAAGAAAAAAATTAAATAATGCCTTTGGAATTCTATCAGACAAAAGGCTAAGACAGGAAAACCGAAGTATACTGTCTAAAATCCACATGAAAGACTCAAAACGTCATTCAATGTTTGTCAACTTTAATATCGGCTGTACATTATTTGATGGACTGTTAGTTTAAGGAATAGAAATAAAAGACATTAAAATTACATAAATAGTCATAAAATACGTTTTCAATCAAATGTGCTATACAGGATCTTGAACAGTCATTTAAAAAAAAGCATATTTAGCATGCAGGCATATAAATGAGCTGGCAGAGCTAAGAAAATGAACTGAATGCTGGCAAGTATTCCACCAGTCTTCCGAGTGAAAAAACAAAGGGATAGAATTCATAGGGGAAAGTAAATGAAAAATACACTTGCTGAGTATGAATGAAGAAAGAAAAGAAAGATGTTTCCAATTTGATTTATCGTCCCCTCCTGTTCAGAAACGGTAGGTTTCCTGAGAATAGCTTGATGCCTACATTGATTAAAAATAACTTAATCGCCATCTGTTTCTTACAGGTGACACTGTCAGGATTTTCTTTGCAAGCAAATAGTCTAGAAAACAACCTTTAAATCAAGAAAAAGCAATAGTTGAAATTCCTGCAATGCTAAGACTTTAAAATGAGAGCTGACACTAAGTATGACAGGAGCATCTGAAATGTTTCTCTGAACATGAGTCAATCTCAAAGGTTTGCAGAGAACTGCAAGCTGGCAGAAAAATTGGTTCAGATTGATTCATAGGAAAAAAAAGAAAAGGGAAAAGAGAAACAGTAAAAGCCTCATGAAGGAATGGAAAAGGCAAAAAATAGCATAGCAGATAAGCCAGGGCAAATGCTGAAGTGTAAACTTACAGTGACAGAGCCTTGAGCAGCATGAACAGATGAGGGCAGGATCTCTGAACTGGGGTAGATGAATGAAGATCCACAACAGAGCTGACATACGCATGCGGTTTTGTTATTTGTTCATAGTTTAGGAGCTTTTCTCCTCTTCTAGTACACAGTTTAGGAGGGGCTTTACCTGTACTAGAAAAACTGTGAAAGAACTGTCTGGACCAAGTGCAGTTACTTCCTATTGTTCCTAACTCTTTCACAAAAGCGGTAGGACTTGCAGGTATCATTAACCGCTCTGACTAAAAATCAGTCCTACCAAGGCAAACAGTCCAGTCAAGCACTGATGTCTTAGCACAAGGGTGAGGGGTGACACCCCTCTACTCCCAGCTGTAGCCCTGAGAAGGCAAACAAAGCGCTTTCCCTGGCAGTGTCACCAGCAATACGTACAAGCCACGGAGATGCTTAATATGGAATTAGCATCAGTTTTCCTCATGCTTCTTTGATAAGCCCTTTGCTCTGCAGGGATGGCTTTGTGATTTGGTTTGAAGTGTAGAAGGAAAGAACAAAAAAAATTAGGTGTTGGGAACAGCCTTCTCTTCATCACTGCAGAAGTGCCTGTGTGCTGTGTGTCTTGCTCAGGTGCATACTTTCAGCAACGTTTTATCAACAACGCCACAGTGGTTCAACTGCTGGTGTTAAGCAGTGCCCTCACTCTTGGTGTCAATGGTTGCTGGGAAGTTTTTTGGAAGTGTGTCTGTTGCATATAAAATCCAGTGTATTGGAAGACTGTTAAGGGAAAAAAATACTTATTGAGGGGAAAAATACTAAACAATATAATTTAATAGAAATCATGTTTTCTTTCTGGATTTATTAGTTTGACTTTTCCTGGATTTAATTGTGTTTCTGTAGCCACAGGAAGGAAAACACAAAGTAATGCCAGAGAAATCTTGCCTAAGGAACATCAACTATGATGTTGTTAGCTAACCAAGTAGATGAGCCATTGCCATTTGCAAACTCATTGCATATACCAGTGAGATAAGTCAAGACTCCACCAAACAAGTTGGATGAAATTATGGGGACACGGAATCAACAATAGAAAGAGATCAGTGAAAACAGGGCTAGATGATATTCTAGTGCCCCTCTCAGTCAGCATTCTAGAATCCGTAATTTGCACCATGGAACTGCCTGTGGGTGTGAAATGGATTCTTTTTGGATTCAGTATAGCCAGAGTCTTGCTCCAGGAGTTTATCTGACAGGCTACAACTGCTGTTGTGTATTCATTCCATGCTGCTGGCCTGTGCTAGTCTTAGGTCAAGGTGAAACTCAATGAAATATTTAGCTTGAACAGCTGGCTTCTCCTTACAAATCTGCCTCTGCTGTGCTGAACTACTTGCTAAGACAGGTAGAACCCCAGGGTGGTAAACAGCAGTCTTCAGGAGTACAAAGACTGAATCAAAGCTGTGTGATGAGTGCAGATGGGATGGTTTGCTTTTAAGGACTTGAATGGGTCACTAAAATGGAAATGAAA